CGTTCAATGCTATGCGCCAGGGTGCCAGAAACGCCACGTGGGCCTCCATCTCTTCGATATGCTTTGCCACGCTCTTCAAGGTTGGCTTCCAGGATGATGATGCAGGACAGGTGCCTCATTGCTGGAGCGCGGCTCTTTTTTTCGGCGGGTGGTTGTTCTTGTCGGGGGGGGTCTATGCATCGTTCGGTACGCAAACGTCCTTAGACATCAAGGTGTCTGCTGCTGTGTCCGCAATAGGCCTGGCCATTAGCTCTTGCGCGGCGTACTTTTACGATCCCGATTTCGACATGCCGAGGCTCGTGTGCTCACTTGCTTTAGTATGTGGCATCGCCGGAATGGTGAAAACTGTGAAGCTTTACCGTGAACTGTTCATCCCTTTGATCAAAGAGCATGCGACAGTGTATTGAGGAAGACGTTCGTATTGAGTCCGCCGATCGTCTGAAAGATACCAGCGCTCGCAAGTTGCCCGTGATTGCGTTGTTGGTTCTTTTAAATAAAGTTCCACCGCAGTTTTTGAACGGTCGTCAAAGATGAATGCTCCACAACACATTCCCTCCCCTGGCGGGCCTCTACACTCCTCACGTCCTGTCCCTTTTAATTCTGATCGCGGCAGTCTGGTTGCACTCTCGGGCCAGAAGCGACATCGGCCAGACCTTGCGACGCCAAATTTGCCCCAGTGGCGACTCCAAGCTGTTCCTTTTCAATCCCTTCAAAAAAAGAAGGCGCCTGGGGGCCCCGACCACAAGGAATTCCTTTCCCCCTGAAGCGAAGTGCCGAGCATTCCGTAAGAAAGGCGGCTTCTCCAGGGATTGCAAAGCACGGGCACCGATAGACGTCTTGAGGATCCGTGGGGCACATGAAAGCTCAGAGAAAAGTGCGCCACCTGGAAGAATACAAAGACGCTGTCGTCAGCAACCAAAGTGATCGCGGGGTGCCCGCGCATGATCCAGATGCCGTCCCAAAGTGCATCTTGTGTGGTTTATTGACAGGCGTGGCTGGCCTGCGCGCAGCAAGCAATATGCTGGCACCCGTTCCGCCCCTGTCAAAAATCGATGCGAAGTGGTCGCGGGGCGCCCGCGCATGCTCCAGATTTAGATGCAATGTTTATACCGTATTGTTTTTTCGACAAGGATGGTAAGGGGATGTGTCAGCATGGATCCAGGGTGGCTGCTGGTCGGAGGAGGGAGTGGGCGCTTCTAATTAAGGAGCGGTGACCAAGTTCTCAGCGGGAACGCCGCAAGTTGTCCGGTTCACTCCCACCTGCCCTCCCATTACAGAAGTAGAAGTAGCACCCCGGTCTCAGCCTAGGCAGGGGCCGTTACCAACAATCATCGGAGGCACAATGCCAGACGCCAGCCAGGTGCGCGACGCCCGCGAGGTGCGCCGCACGTGCCAGGCGCGCCACGCGCACATGTTCGCCACATTGGGACAGATGTCGCCCCCCAGCAATCCCTGTCACAAACGCATGCTAAGTGACGGGGGGGATGCCAGCATTGTGTATTGTGTGTGTGTGCGCCCGCAATCGCTTTGCATGGGCTCTTTGACAGGAGAGGTGGGCCTGCATTGGCCAACAACCAATGCAAAGTGATCGTGGGGCGCCCGCGCATGATCCAGATGTTGGTGCAAAGTGCATTTTGCATTGCTTGTTGCAAGGGATGATGGGGGGAGGGGTGGCATTGTTCACAGCAGGCTATATGCTGGCACCCCCGCCGTCCCTGTCAAAAACCACGTACAGTGATCGCGGGGCGCCCGCGCATGATCGAGATTTTGGTGCGAAGTGCACTTCGCGTTGTTTTTGTTGCAAGGGATGGTGGACGAGGTTGGCAGTGTCCCAGGGTTGTCGCTGGTCGGGTGGGGGAGGGGGTGTTATTCATAAGGAATACTGCTAAACGCTTCCCCAAACAGGTGATTAGGGGAAGAGGGAAGCTGAAAAGGAAACGCTCTAGACCACCTACGCCCAGATGGCTGGTGGGATTTGCTTTTAACAGGGGTGGTGGGGCAGCGCACAGTGGACAAACATGCTCGCACACCAGCCATCCCCGTCAAACGAAAAATGCAAAGTGCTCGCGGGGGTCCCGGTCACCATCCAGATTTCGCTGGCGCGTGCACTTTTTATTGTTTCATTTGTCAGGGATGTCGGAGGGGACGCTCATGGTTCGTGGTTGGCGGCTTGTCGAGGTGGGGGCATTTTATTAGTAAGGGGCATAGATAAACCCCTTACCGAAGGGGAAGAGGAGGGTTGGAAGAGGAAGCACCTTAGACTTCGCCCAGAGGCCTGAATTGGGTCGGGCTTACAGTGGGGGCCCATGCCAAGAAACACCCTGCTTGCCTCAAGGATGCCATGGGTTTTTTGGTTTTCGACGGTTTTGCTGTGGAAGGCGTGGCGCTTCCACACCAAAAAACAATGGACGTCCGGGGGTCTCAGGGTTGGGTTTCTTGTGGAAGGTTTCTTGTGGATGTCAGCAAAGCGCAGAAACTCTTCGATCTGTTCAGCTTGGCTCAGCTTCAGCTCCCTGGTCGGGCTCTACTTTTGGACGTAGTGGGCGTCTTGAGGTTCCCGTGTGTGGGCCTCTGGGCCGATATCTGGGCCATCGACAGGAGCTCTTGAGTCACATTTGGGCGCTGTCGGTGGCCTCTCCAGAGTTCTATCTGGAGCCGAGCGGAGTTGAAAAGTGGAGGAGGTGACGGCATTGGAATGATCACACGTTTTTCATACAGTTTTGGCGTTTCGAAGGCCCTCTGCGGGCGGACCATGTCGAAGCCGTCCTGGAGCCATCTTGGACCACACCCCGCGACATCGTCGGCCATGCCAGGGCTATCACTCTTAGCCAGCCCGGAAACAAACAGCAAATGCGGCCGAGGAAGAAGAGGGTTCTGATAACGAGAATGACGATATCGATGATCATGGTGGTGATGATGGCGATGGTGATTGTGATGGTGATGGTGACGGTGATGGTGCTGGTGGCGGCGATGGTGATGGTGGTGGTGATGGTGATGGCGATGGTGATTGTGATGGTGATGGCGATGGTGACAGTTGTGATGGTGGTGCATGGTGGTGATGATGATGACGATGATGATGGCGATGATGATGGTGATGATGGTGGTGAGCATGATGAAGACGATGATGATGATGATGATGATGATGATGATGATGATGATGATGATGATGATGATGATGAGGAGGAGGAGGAGGAGGAGGAGGAGGAGGAGGCGAAAGGGAAGGGGCAGGCGGGTATCTGCAACCACCTCGAGGCCATACTTCTCACTTCCTGTGGCTGCCTGAGGCCATCCTGGCCAGCCCTGCAGGGCATCAGGGCTCGCCACGCGAAAAGGGAATTGGGCGCACCCTTGGGGCATAGAACGATAGAGCGCGGAAGCTCGCCAGACCTCCGACATCTCCGACACCTAGAAACCAAGCAGGCGAAGGCTGCTCTTGTTCCTCGAAATGCGAGTTTGTCTGTCGTTGTTCGAGAAGGGTGGGTATGTTTCTTCATGTCGCGTTGTTTGTCGATAGAAAAGGGGCTTCAGTATTCACGGAAATCAGTTCGTTTGTCGTCTTTCCCCAGTATGTAGTTCAACCTATAGAGACCCCCGTCATTCAGGGACAATGATAAAACCATATGTGTCGTAATACTGGCACCTGGGAAATGATTGAGAGATTCCGGGCCCGCGCATGGGGGGGGAAGCAAACCAAGCAGAAAAACACACATTGGAGGTCGTGGTCTTGGAGGAGGGCTGAGAGGCCAAATCTTTCGAGCAGACGGTCTTCGGGATCACTTCGTGCTCCCGAGGCACGCTCCGAATCGTGGGCGGGCGGACTCGAGACGCTGCGCCTCTACCGCCTGCCCCTTCTTCCCGGCAGTACCCGAGTACGGAAGGGCCGAAGACGTGCCCAGCAGCAACCGAAAGGAGCTCGAGACCAGTCCCGCGTGAGGCCAGAAATCGCCACAGGGTGGGCCGCACACTGTTCCAAGAGAGCCCGAACCGATCTGCCAAGGGCACACAGGGAGCCCCAGGAGGGCCCAAGAGCCCACCTCCGAAACTGTATCGGGATGGCGCTGGAAGCTTGGAGACTTGAAGAACCTTTCGGGGGGGGGGGCGTCTTGGGGGGGGGGGCCTGGAGCCATCGTGGGAGCCTCTTGGACTTACTTTGGCACTCTTGGTGGCTTCTTGGGCACTCTTGGAGGCTTCTGGGTCCCGTCTGGGAGGTCATGTTGCGCGGTTGATCCGCGTACTCCTCCTCCTCCTCCTCCTCTTTTCCCTCCTTCTCCTCCTCTTCTTTTTCCTAGTACATGTAGCGTGGTAGCACCGAAGCAGGAATTGGAAGCTTGGCCCATGGGAATCGGTACGGGAAGAGGCGAAAAGATACCAGATAGAACATCTGAGTGCTGATCTGGGGCGACCATGGCGAAACTTTGGGAGGGTCAGGGGGGCTTCAGACGATTCTGTTAGGGGGAGAAAGGCGAGGGAGACATCCAGAAACCACGAGGACTTCTTGAGAACGTCCTGGTTGTATCTCGGGTCTTTTCGGAGACATCTCGTTCCACAGGGGGTTGACAGCGCAGGTCATCAAACCAAATGTGTGTTTGAATCGGTTCGGTCTTTGGGATGCCTCGGGCAAATCAGCCGGTTCCGGACATTCGATGAGGGGGGCTGGAGGCTCCAGCAAGGGTGTACGAGCGTCTGGTGAGAGTCCGAAGAGGGTGCTTATTCACTCGACGATGCAACTCCCATGTCCCGTCATTTCTTGAGGGCGGAGGGACAGCGCAAGGCACCATGATGATCCCACCCTGGTGTCTGGGCGGTGGTTTGAAGCGGGGCGCATCACGTGAACGATTTTGAGATCTGCACTCCTTAGGCAGATGCCTGCGTTTGCCTTCCCTACTCAAAAGATGCCCCCTCTGCGCTTGCTTGAGCAGACGCTGCAAATGCCTGAGTGGCCTCAAACGCCGTTGCGCCGCTCGGCCGGCGAATCATTTGCAGCGCCCGCGTCCCTCCAGGAGCCATCCTCGACTCAGGAGCAGCTCTCGCAGAGCATGAAGGAGAAGCGCCGGCAGCCAAGCGCGCCGGCACCCAATCTCGCCGGCAGCCAGCGGCTGCCGCGCAGCAGACGATCGGACGCGACGGAGGCGAGCGACGGAGGCGGGGCGCCGGACGAGGCCAGGGAGGCCGCGGCCCCGCGGAGGCCCCAGGAGGCCTGGGGGGAGCCTGGGAGGGGAGGGACGGCAGTCGCCGACTCCATCGATGCGCTCGAGGGGGAGGCTGAGGCGCCGAAGCCTGCGACGCCGAAGCACGCCACACAGGCTGCGCCGCCTGTAGTGGAGGTTGCGCCGCCTCCACTGGTGGAAGTGGCGCCCGCGCCGTTGGACCAGGCCGCTCCGCCGCCGGTGGAGCGCAAGAAGAAGAAGCCGAAGCACGTGCCGATCAAGGTGCAGCCCCAGAAGGAGGAGCCTGTCAGCCAGGGCGAGGAGACCGACAGCGTCCAGGCCGATGGCAAGGCCAAGAGCAAGGCGAAGGCCAAGCCCAAGGGGAAGGCCAAGGGCAAGGCGAAGACACACCCCCCAGGCGAGTCTGCCAGCTCCGTGCCGTCCGCCAGGGGGGACCGCAAATCCTTGAAGGCGCAACAGGGGCCCCTTGGATCAAAGGGGGCCAGGTCTTCTGGAGCCTCGGACACCGAGAAGGACGCCGCTCGGGCTGGTGAGGCGGATGCGCAAGGCAAGACGGTGGACACAACTGCAGGGGACCACGCCAGTTCCGAATCGATGCCGGTGGAGCCCTCCAACGATCCGCAAGAGAGCACCGACGACGACGGAGGCAGGGTAGCAGTCTACCTGTGCAGCTTGCTGTACCCCAGCGCAGCTGCCAGAGCCCGCGGGCGGGCCGATCTGATGAGGGGTGCCGAGCGGGGCACCGCCGCGCCTCCAAGCGCCCAGCCCGCAGCGGAGCTCACTGCCCCTGCGCTCCCTGGAGGCAAGGCGGCCGAGGGGCCGGACGCCGCCGCTCCTTGCGGTGCCGAGCCGCCAGTGCCGCCAGCTGCCCCTGCACCACCTGAGGGCCAGCTTGCCCAGGCGTTGATCGCTGCCGCGCTTCCCCGCGCCGAGCCGGCAACGGAGCCTGCTGCCCCTGCGCCAGCCGAGGACAAGCGTGCCGAGGAGCTTGATGCCGCCACGCCTGCGAGCGCCGAGCCTGCTCCAGCGGCGGTTGCAGATGAGGCCACGCCAGAGGCTGCGCTTGCAGCGCTCACAGAGGAAGCAACGCCTGCTGATCCCCCCGCACCAGCAGCTGATGAGGCGAAGCTGGCCGAGGCTGCCACGCCAGCTGCAGAGGAGGCGATGCCCGCTGACACTCCATCGGCCGTCGCAGAGGAGGCTACGCCAGCGGCCGCACAAGCAGCACCCACCGAGGAGACGAAGCCAGTTGAGGCGGCTGCGCCAGCTGCTGAGAAGACGGAGCCCGCTGAGGCCGCCGCGCCAGCTGAGGAGGCGAAGCCCGCTGAGGCACCAGTGGCACCAGCAGAAGAGGTGAAACCAGAGGCCGCTCTGGCGGCGACCACGGAGGCGGCGAAGCCAGCTGGGGCTCCAGAACAGGCCACGCTTGCGACGCCTTCCGAAGAATCGACGCCGGCTGAGCTCCCTGCGCCAGCAGCTGAGGAGGCGAAGCCAGCTGAGATTGCCGCGCCAGCTGCTGAGGTGAAGCTCTCTGACGCTCCAACGGCAGCTGCAGAGACTGTGTCCAAGGCTACACCAGCAGCACCCACTGAAGAGACGAAGCTGGGTGAGGATCCCGTGCCAGCTGCTGAGGCGAAGCCCAGTGAGGTTGCCAAGCCCGTTGAGGTCGCCACGCCAGCTGAAGAGACGAAGCCCACCGAGGCCGCCCTGCCAGCTACCCATCCGCCAGCTGATGAGGCGAATCCGGCTGAGCCCCCAACTGCAATTGCAGAGAAGGCGCAGCCAGAGGCCGCACCAGCACCGACCACAGAGGAGGCGAAGCCCACCGAGGCTCCTGCGGCACCAACAGAGGAGGCGAAGCCAGAGGCCGCACCAGCGCCGACCACGGAGGAGGCGAAACCCAGTGAGGCTCCCGCGGCAGCTGCTGAGGAGGCGAAGCCCGCTGAGGCTCCCGCGGCAGCAGCTGAGGAGGCGAAACCTGCCGAGGCTGCCGCGGCAGCTGCAGAGGAGGCGAAGCCGGAAGCCGCACCAGCACCGACCGCTGATGAGGCGAAGCCCGCTGAGGCTCCCGCGGCAGCAGCTGAGGAGAGGAAGCTGGCCGAGGCCGCCGCGCCTGCAGCAGAGGAGGCGAAGCTGGAAGCCGCACCAGCGCCGACCACGGAGGAGGCGAAGCCCGCCGAGGCTCCCGCCGCTGCTGAGGAGGCGAAGCCAGCCGAGGCCGCCGCGCCTGCAGCAGAGGAGGCGAAGCCGGAAGCCGCTCCAGAGCCGACCACGGAGGAGGCGAAGCCCGCTGAGGCTGCCGCGGCAGCAGCTGAGGAGGCGAAACCAGCCGAGGCTGCCGCGGCAGCTGCAGAGGAGGCGAGGCCCGATGCCGCTCCAGAGCCGACCGCCGAAGAGGCAACGTCCGCTGAGGCCCCAGCGGCATCCATTGAGGAGGCGAAGCCAGCCGAGGCCTCCGCGCCTGCTTCAGAGGGTGCGGAGCTGGAAGCCGCACCAGCGCCGACCACAGAGGAGGCGAAGCCCGCCGAGGCTCCCGCCGCTGCTGAGGAGGCGAAGCCAGCCGAGGCTGCCGCGGCAGCTGCAGAGGAGGCGAGGCCCGATGCCGCTCCAGAGCCGACCGCCGAAGAGGCAACGTCCGCTGAGGCCCCAGCGGCATCCATTGAGGAGGCGAAGCCAGCCGAGGCCTCCGCGCCTGCTTCAGAGGGTGCGGAGCTGGAAGCCGCACCAGCGCCGACCACAGAGGAGGCGAAGCCCGCCGAGGCTCCCGCCGCTGCTGAGGAGGCGAAGCCAGCCGAGGCTGCCGCGCCAGCAGCTGAGGAGGCGAAGCCCGAAGCCGCACCGGCACAGACCACAGAGGAGGCGGAGCCCGCCGAGGCTCCCGCCGCTGCTGAGGAGGCGAAGCCAGCCGAGGCTGCCGCGTCAGCAGCTGAGGAGGCGAAGCCCGAAGCCGCACCAGCACAGACCACGGAGGAGGCGAAGCCCGCTGAGGCTCCCGCGGCAGCAGCCGAGGAGGCGAGGCCAGAGGCACCGATCGCTGGGGAGGCGAGGCCCGCTGGGTCGCTGGTTTCACCCGAGCCAGCCCCGCAGCAGGGTTCTGCCGCCCCGGAGGCTGAGGAGGATGTCGAGTCTGTCGCGTCTCTGCAGTCCCGACGTCACCTCTCGGCAGGCCCTGCATCCGCGATTTCGATGGACGGCAGCGACTTTGGTCGGTCGATTGTCGAGTACAATGTTGTGTCAGACATGATCGGTGATTCGATGGCGAGTGCCACACGCGGCTACATCCAAGAGGACGACGCTGAGTCGGTGTTGGAATCTCGGAGGTCCAGCTCTTTCACCCTAGCTCTCCACACGATGCTGCCCTCGACTCCCATGATGAGCGCACCGGCTTCGACACTGGGACTGGAGGACCAGTCGGCGGAGAAGCAGCCACCAGCTTCCGCGAGCGAGAGGTCCTCCGCCGCGCAGCCCGCAGGTGCCCCGCCGCCAGCGGCAGCCCAGAGCTCCTCTGACGCGCAGGTGCCAGTGCCCGCAGAGGTCGGCGGGCGCAAGCTACACACCGACGCAGGCCCTGGCCAGACCCACTGTGTTCGGGGCTGGCGCGGAGGTCCCGCCTGGCTTGGGGCCATTAGCCAGGGGTGCCTCCACAGCCGACCCCACGGTGGAGAAATCGCATCACCCGCAAGAGCGCGAAGATGACCAGGGTGCGCGCTTCGCGCGGCGCGAAGCGCGAAGCTGGGCGACCCAGGGGATGCCTCCGCAGCAGACGCCACGGTGGAGGAACCGCCCTTCCAGCCGGGTGCCCGTCTGGAGCACTTCTTCTGCTCAAGCCGTGGGCTGTGGAACCGTAGTAGCAGTAGTAGTAGTAGTAGTAGCAGCAGCAGCAGCAGCAGCAGTAGTAGTAGTAGTAGTAGCAGCAGTAGTAGTAGTAGTAGTAGTAGTAGTAGTAGTAGTAGTAGTAGTAGTAGTAGTAGTAGTAGTAGTAGTAGTAGTAGTAGTAGTAGTAGTAGTAGTAGTAGTAGTAGTAGTAGTAGTAGTAGTAGTAGTAGTATTAGTAGTATAGTAGTAGTAGTAGTAGTAGTAGTAGTAGTAGTAGTAGTAGTAGTAGTAGTAGTAGTAGTAGTAGTAGTAGTAGTAGTAGTAGTAGTAGTAGGTAGTAGTAGGTAGTAGGTAGTAGGTAGTAGGTAGTAGGTAGTAGGTAGTAGGAGTAGGAGTAGTAGTAGTAGTAGTAGTAGTAGTAGTAGTAGTAGTAGTAGTAGTAGTAGTAGTAGTAGTAGTAGTAGTAGTAGTAGTAGCAGTATTAGTAGTCGGGGGCGCCTCGAGGCGCTCGTGCCAATTCGGAGATGGACCCCCCGGTCGTCCTGCCCCGAGATCTCCTCAATCGTGCACTGGGCTGCGGGCTGATCCGGGCCCAGGGCGGGCCTCACCGGGTCTCGTGTCGGTGTGCAGCCAGCATCCCTCATGGGAGGTGCCGGTGGCTGACGATGCGGGCAAGGGAAGCGCGGACCCCTCCGCAGCAGCGCTGCAGGTGCATCTCCTACCCCGCATTCTCCTCCGTCTCCTCATCATTCTATCTGCTCCTCTCCTTCTCATCCTTCCACCACCACCTCCTCTTCATTCTTCCTTCCCCTGCTCCTCCTCCTCATCATCATCATCATCATCATCAGCATCATCATCATCATCATCATCATCATCATCATCATCATCATCATCATCATCATCATCATCATCATCATCATCATCATCATCATCATCATCATCGGGCCAAATATGCGAGCAATCGGCTTGGACTTCGCTGTCCGCTGTGCAGCCCTGGTGTGCGACTCTACTTGTCCCTGCGATTACAGTAAACACATCGGCGACGGGCGACCAGGATGCTGTTCGTCAGGGGTCCCTGAGTAGGACAAGGAGGAAGATGGTGATGATGATGATGATGATGATGAGGAGGAGGAGGAGGAGGAGGAGGAGGAGGAGAAGGAGGAGGAGGAGGAGGAGGAGGAGGAGTTGGAGGATGAGGAGGAGGAGGAAGGAGAAGGAGAGGAGGAGGAGGAGGAGAAGGAGGAGGAGAAGAAGGAGGAGGAGGAGAAGAAGAAGAAAGAGGAGGAGGAGGAGGAGGATATATGGATGAGAGATGAGGCAGAGATGATGAGGAAATGAGGAGAGGAAGAGGAGGATGATGATCATGATGAGGAGGAGGGAGGAGGAGGAAGGAGAAGGAGAAGAAGGAGGAGAAGGAGGAGGAGGAGAAGGAGGCGGAGGAGAAGGAGGAGGCGGAGGAGGAGAAGAAGGAGGCGGAGTGAGTTGGAGGGAGTTGGAGGAGGAGGAGGAAAGAGACGGAGGAGGAGGAGGAGGAGAAGGAGGAGGAGGAGAAGTAGGAGGAGGAGTAGAAGAAGCAGGAGGAGGACGGAGGATCGGAGGAGGAGATAGGAGGAGGAGATAGGGAGGAAGGAGATAGGAGGAGGATAGGAGGAGGAGGAGGAGGAGGAGAAGAGTTGGAGGAGGAGGAGGCGGAAGGAGGAGGAGGGAGAAGTAGGAGGAGGAGAAGAGGAGAGGAGAAGTGAGGAGGAGGAGGAGGAGAAGAAGGAGGAGGCGAGGAGATATGAGGATGAGGGAGATGAGGAGATGAGGATGAGGAAAATGAGGAGGAGGAAGAGGAGGATGAGGGGGAGGAGGAGGGAGAAGGAGGAGGCGAGGAGGAGACGAGGAGGACAGAGGCAGGAGGAGGAGGAGAAGGAGGAGGAGAGGGCGGAGAAGGAGGAGGGGGAAAAGAGGAGTGGAGGAGGACGAGGAGGAGGAGGAGAAGGAGAGTAGGAGGAGGAGGAGGAGGAGGAGGAGGAGGAGGAGGGAGGAAGAGGATGAGGAGGAGGACGGAGGGGACGAGGAGGAGCGAGAAGGAGCGGTGCGAAGAGGATGAGGAGGAGGACGGAGGAGGAGGAGGAGAGGAAAGAGGAGAGGAAGGAGAAGAAGAAGGAGGAAGAGGGCGAGGAGGAATATGGCGAGGTTGGCCAGGGGGGGGAGAAGGAGGAGCCGGAGGACGAGGAGGGCGCGGAGGACGAGGAGGAGGGCTTCGAGGATGTGCCTGCAGAGCTCCTTCTTAGAAGGGGTTTGCTCGCAGATCAGATCTCCACGCTCGCCCTGGCTGGCGAACCGGATGGTTTTCGCACGTGTCTGCCCTCCTCCTCCTCCTCTTCCTCCTCCTCCTTCTCTCCTCCTCCTCCTCTCCTCCTCTCCTCCTCCTCCTCCTCCTTCCTCCTCCTCTCCTCCTCCTCCCCCGGCGGCCCCGCCGCCTCTTTCGCCCGTGGGCACGCGGACTGCAGAGGGCCCCGCTGGCACTGTCACACAAGCGTAGGGCAGGTTTGGGGGGGCCCCCCCCCCCCCCTCCCCCATCCTTCCCCCTCCTCCTCTCGCTCATACGTGTTTTTCGTTCGAATCCCGACTCGGCCTTGGGTTTCGAAACTCGCATGGCGGCTGCGCATGCGAGAATCAAGGCCAAGGAAGGAGGCCGCCAGAGCTGGCGCTTTGTCCTCAGGATCGAGTGGCAAACCCCGCCCCTCGCCCCGCTTGTCACAGTCAGATCGAGCATCTCTCTCTCTCTCTCTCTGACGCTGTGGTTTTAGCTATGTGGCAGGTACCTTTTGTGGCCATACAGTGAAACAGTCCCCCTCCTGGCTGGCTAATAGAAAAGCAGGAGATGCTTCCAGGGGCCTTCAGGAGCTGCAGGGGAGGTCTCCAGGAGCTCCCCCCGGAAGATTCGCCCTGAGGAGCTTGTCCAGGGAGCTCCCAATGCGTTCCTCCAGGTGCCTCCTCGTCCTGCTCATTCACATCCCCGTCGCCCCCCTCCAGGGGCTGCCGTTTCGTTTGCCGACCATCGGTGGGCTGTTGTTGCCACGGCTGGGCGCGGCCCAAAAGCTAGCCCGGATAGTGCCCAGGAACAGGCCAAGGCGATTTTGAGCGGACTCTGGCTCGGGGGGGCCATACGGACTAGTGAGCGACGCAGGAAAGCGGGCCCATCCGCGCCGACATTTGCGCGTAAGCTTCCCGCGTAAGGTCGCGCGTGATGCCGCGCTGGCGGCCCGCGTAAGCCGCCGCGTATGGTCGCTACAGTCGGGGCCCTGAAGAAGGAACCCTTTTCGTTGGGGAGGGGCTCCGTGTTCCTTGATTGCTTCACAGTTTGCCTTGGGTTTTGCTTTGGCTTTCGATCGAAAATCTAAGTCCAACTTATGGATCTAAGGGGCCTCGTTCCTTATTTAGGGTTCCTTGGGTCAACGCTCCGACTGTATGCCATCTCGCGTGAGGCCCGTTTTTGATCGTCGCCCAAGTGGGCGGCGCGGCAGGTGGACGTCGGGATGCGCCCTGCGAGCGAGGTGTCCTCCGTGGCAGGCGGGCAGCCCGAGGTCGCGAGCAGGAAGTCCTCGGCGACGCAGGCCGCGGGCGAGCCGCCGGAGGCTGCAAGCAGCAAGTCTTCGGCGGCGCTGCCCGCAGCGAGGAAGACGTCCTCGGCAGTGCCGCCGCTGGACCTGCAGGCGCGAGCCGGAAGCCGGAGGTCTTCGGCCGCGCAGGGCGAGGCGCCCCCCGCCGGCGAAGGCCTCCACGACGAGCAGGCAGAAGGTCCGGTAGCGCAGCCGATGCCGATGGACGGGCAGGCACGCGCTGCGAGCAGCAGGTCCTCGCTGGCACAGCCGCAGGACGAGGGGGCCTCCGAGGCACCGCGGGGCGTGGAGCTGCTTGCCGCCAGCGTGGTCTCGGCGGCGGTGCTGCCGCTCGATGCGCAGGCGGGGCAGCACGCAGACGTCGACAGGCTCTCCGCCACCGATGCGTCCGCCGCGGAGGGCGAGAAGCCGGAGGTGGCAACCAGGGGCGCCTCAGAGGTGCAGCCTGCGGGCGAGCAGGCGCGGCCCGCCAGCAGGGGCTCCTCGGGCGCGCGGGCGGTCCCTGCCGCCGGCGAGGGCGCCTCGAGGGCGCAGCCGACCGAGGAAGAGCCGACCGCAGCGAGCAAGGCGACCTCGGCAGTGCTGCCTCTGGACTTGTCCGCGGCACGAGGGGCGAGCGAGGGGGCCTCGGCTCTTGCGGGGAGGCCGCCCGCGCCGGCCTCGAGGGAGGCGGCGATGATGCGGACACTGAAGACGAACTCCGGCGCCACGAAGCAGGAGGTCGCCAGCTTCGCGCAGTCCCTCACGAGCTCCATCTTCAAGAACACGCACAAGAGCGTGGCGAGCCGCGCCCGCAGCACCGGCAGCTCTGTCCACGGCGCGGGCGCGCGCCCCCCGCGCCCCGACGCCGCGCCGTCCTCCTCCTCGTACAGCCCGCCGCCCGTGAGCTCCCGGCCTCCCAGCGCCCGGCGTCGCGCCGCGGCAGCAATCGAGGCCGTGCCAGACGACCACCAGTAGCTCTTCATTGCCTGGGGAAGTCAGGTCTGGTCGGGAAGGGCGTTCGAACTGCCAGTTCATCATGTGGCGCGCTCCAAGAAAAGGGCCCCACCGTCGAGGATAGATAGAAGGAGTCGTCATCTCTCCCTCGGCGGCAGGCGGCGGAAGGGCGGCAGAAGGTCAGCGGAAGTAGAACGAGGCTGCCTCCGCCGGCGGAAGCTGGCGGAATGCGACGCAGGTAGAAGAGGCGCCCCCAAGAGATGAAAACTCAGGAGGGGGAAAAAACACACAGACACAACTGATCGTCGATTCCCCCGAAAATCTAGGAAACCATGGGAAGTGGGGGGGAAGCCAGAAACCCAGAAAATATGGGAAAGTATGGGGAACCCTGTTCCCAGACCCCCGACGTCATGATTTTTTCATGACGTCGACCCCCCGAGGTCTCGACCCATTGCCCTGGACCGGTTTTTCGTCCTGAGTCGTTTTTTGACGGTCCCGAGGGCCGGTAAGGGCCCCCAAAGGCCAAAAAGAATGAAAAACCTCCCGTCGTGATTTTTTCATGACTCGAGGGGGTCTGGGTTGTTTGTATATTTCCTCGTGTGTCCCGGGGCCCCTTCGAATGACGTGGCTGGGCTCGGGGTGCGAGGCCGCCGGTGTGAAAGGGCCCGCGCTCCGAGGGGTCGAGGAGCGGAGGAGCGGAAGGTCCGCGGGGGGCTCGGCGGAGGCCACACTCGGGCCGGACGAAAGGAGGAGGAGGAGGAGGAGGAGGAGGAGGAGGAGGAGGAGGAGGAGGAGGAGGGAGGAGGAGGAGGAGGAGGAGGAGGAGGAGGAGGAGGAGGAGGAGGAGGAGGAGGGCCAGACGAAAGTCAGGAGGGAAAAAAACACACAGGCACAATTAATCGTCGATTCTCCAGAAAATATGGGAAAATATGGGAAGTGGGGGGGAAGACAAAAACCCAGAAAATATGTGGAAATATGGGGACTATTTTTATTTGTGTGTATGTATTTGTGTGTCTTAATTTCCCTTTAGAAAGGGGGGGATTGGGAAAGGGGGGGTACGACATTTGCTGCATGCAGCTGGTTTCGGCCTCGCCGAGGGGCCCATTCCTCGATGCATCGTCGCCTCCGGCGCCGGGAGGCGCCAGGAAGATCAGCTGCGTGAGCTGATTCTCAAGCCCCCCTTCGCTATCCCCCCCCTTCGCCCGACCCGAAACACCAGGTCTAGGTCGGACATGTCCTCCTACGGGCCGATCTTGGACGGAAAAGTAAGAGCATCCCAGAAATGTTCCAGAAAAAGCCAAAGATAGTCGAAACATCGTCCCCGAAGGATGTTTTGACGATTTTTGAGCCTTCCTCCTGCAGAGGGACATGCCCGACTTAACACCAGGTCGGACACGCCGACGGAAGTTGGCGGACGCAGAACAAGCCCCTCCGACAGAGGGAGGCGCTTGGGCGCTCAAGGGCTCCTTGGGGCGCCCACAGGTGCGCCGGCATGATGGCGTCTCACGGGCCTAGGCCGCAAGGATACCCTGCTCCCTGGCGGCCGGCCGGCGCGAGGACGCGACAATTCCAGAAACCATGACCCCAAAAACCGAGTATTTTCTTTGGGTGGAGGGCAAAGGGTGAAATCTGAAATGCCGTTTCGATGGATTTTCGAGGCTTGAGTCTGCAAGAGGGGAATCACAAGACGGATTGGTTTTCGAGGTGCACATGCCCCTTATGGATTTCACCCTGATCCCTCCACCCTGAGAAAAAGATCAGAAAAAGGTTGTCATCTCTGGGAGGCGTTTTTGTTTTAACTTCCAGCGCCTCCCGCCGGCCTTCCGCCGGCTTCCGCCGGCGGGTGCGGCCTCGTTTTGCTTCCGCCGACGTTCCGCCGCCTTCCGCCGAGGAAGCAGGGGTCGGCCTGAAATTTGTTTTTGGAATGAGACAAACAGCATAAGCATAATTTTTCGACGGTGCAGGCGGACCGTCGAAAGTTTATGTTTGTGCCGTTCTTTCTTGCTCTAGCGTTTGGCGATTTCGTGGGCCGTCGCCGTGTCGACTTCGCTCCGCCGTACAGGCGGATCGAAGACAAGACGAGGGAAAGCGAACACAAAACGGGAACGAGAGGCACTGCTTGGGCCGAACCCTGCACTGAAAAGTCTGCATGAAGGGGCCCTGGGACACACACATAAATTCACACAAATGAAAGGATCCCCCATATTCTCCCGTGTTTTCTGGGTTCTTGTCTCTCCCCCCCCACTTCCCATACTTTCCCATATTGCGAAGGCCTTACGGCCGTTGCCGCCGACCCTGAAGATGACGAAAGACAACACGAGGGGGGGGGCAGGAGGAGGAGGAGGAGGAGGAGGAGGCGGAAGGGAGTAGGAGGAGGAAGGGTGAAGGGGGAGGAGGAGGAGGCCTTATGGATGTTGGTTGGGATCTCGTGGTTGACCTCTCGGGGGCGTCTGGAAGGCAACTTGAAGCCTCTTGGGGCCTCTTCGGGCCTCTTTTGGGCCTCTTGGGGCTTCCGGAGGCCGTCTTCGGCGCATCTTGGGGGCGTCTTGGCGCCGCTCGGGGGCCTCGTGGGGCCTTTTGGGGGCCTCTTGGGGCTTCCCGGGGGCCTCTTAGGGCGGAAGTCTCGAATTCTCGGTTCCTCGTCCCCCTCTTGGCCGTTTCTTGGGCCCGTCTTGGGGCCCTATTGGGCCGTCTTGGGCGCCTCTTCGGCTGTCCTGGGGCCTTCTTGGGCCGTCTTGGGGCCCTCTTGTAGGCCTCTTGGGGCGCTCTTGGGGGCCTCTTGGGGGCCTCTTTGGCCGTCTTGGAGTGTCGGAAAGCCGAAAAGGCGAGAAGGCCAAAATCATTCAAAAACCGATGTAAAATTGACGATTTTGGCGCCTGGGGCCCTCTTGGGTGTGCTCTTGGGGCTCTCTTGGAGCGTCTAGAGGGCCTCTTGGGCCGTCTTCGGGCCGTCTTGGGCGTCTTGGGGCCATCGTTCGTCGAGTCGAGGCCCTCTTGTACCCTTTTGGGGGTGTCTTCTGTCGCTCTTGGCTCGTCTTGAAGCTTTTCTGAGCTCCGGGACCCCCGGGGAGGATGCGTATCTGGGTGGCGACCCCCCCGGGGACCCCCCCCGGCGCCCCCCCCCCCTCCCCCCCCTCCCGGCGGGGAGGGTAGGGAGGGGCTTCGCCACGACTCAACTACGACGTTGCTCAATGTCGCTTTGGCTCGCGCGCTCAAGGAGACGGGGAACGACGAAGACGACGAGGGACAACGGAGACGGAGACGACGAGGACACGACGGAGACGACGACGACGACGACGACGACGCTGATCCACGCAAGACGACGACACCGGGATGCGTCTTCCACACGCCGACAGGGTCGGCGGATTTTCCTGAGAGTCGACGATTACTTGTGTCTGTGTCTTTCTCTCCCTCCTGACTGAACCCCTTCCCCCTGGGAGCGGTGCTGCGTCCCTGGCGCCCGCTCTCTCTCGAGGCACAGCCCAGGGGGGGGGCCCGAGGGGCGGCCCCGGGAGGCCGCGAGAGACGCTGCACGGCAGCGCCCCGCTTGCGGGCAGGCACCGCTCGGAGTTCAGATGCGGTCGGGCCGAGGTGTTCCATTGAAGGGGCCCTGGGACGCACAAATAGATGCACACAAATGAAAGGATTCCCCCTCTTTTCCTATGTTTTCTGGGTTTCTGTCTTCCCCCCCGCTTCCCATATTTTCCCGTATTTTTTGGGGAATCGACGATTAATTGTGTTTGTGTTTTTCCCCGCATACAGATTTAGCATCGCTCGGACGTGTGCATTTTTCCTTCGGCGAGGACCCTCGAGGAGCATCCTCGATCATTTGGCGAAAAGACCACGCACGAAACCGAACAAAAACGCAGGAAATGGACGTCCGGGCCAGATAGAAGAAGAACGAACCACAGAAGCATAAACTTTTGGCGCTCCGCGCGGATTTTTGCATTCGCGCTGGACCCCCCTCCCTGGCGCGCGGAGGCGCGGATCCAAGAAATCCGCGCGGATCGCCCCCAAAGTTTTTGTTGATGTGGTTTGTTTTTTTTTTCCAAGGCCTCCGAGAAGGGGTCGGAGTAGACGGGGTCGAAGGATCGTGCCGCACCGCCGATGCATCGGCGATGCGGCTCGGTGCGGAGCCCGACTTTCGCCTCGCCGACGGCGCCAATGCATCGCCGACATCGGCGATGCGGCGCGATCCTTCGACCCCATCTACTCCGACCCGATCTAGGAGGCCTCTAGGCTCTAGGTATAAGATCAAGATCGCCCTCGAGGGCGCGAAGTTATTCGCGCTTCGCGGTTCGGCTCCGATTCCTCTTGATCCTCCTTTTCTCCCCTGTGGGGCGTCGCGAGAGCGCGAAGTTAGGCGTCCTTGAATGCGGTCGGACCGAGGTAGAAGATCGAGGTCGGTTCGGGGGGGGGTACCCTAATCTCGGCGGCGAGCGAGGGAGGGAAGAGAATAGGAGAAGGCCCTCTCAGAGGGCGGCGGGACTTCTCAGAAGCCCTCCGGCCTTCTGAGTCGAGGTCGGTTCACGGAGGGTATACCCTAGTGTTCTGCGTGCTTCTTGGATGTCTTGTGCATCCGGGGGGGGGGGGGGGGCCCTCGAGGTGTTTCTTAGGTTTGGGGCCAAGCGGAGCGGGCCCACCCCCCCATCTTCTTGGAGGATGCTCTTCTGCCCTAGGTCCGATCGTACGCTCAATACAAGCCTCGGAAAAAATAGCGAACACCCATGCCACATTCATCTGTGAACGCCTCCCCCTCCCCCCAATGTTCACAGTTGCCGGTGGGTCTGACGAGTTGCACCTCGACCGCAGTCTCCCCCGCGCGTGCCAACTTAGAGTTTTGGGGGGGCAGGGGGGGGTGTTCACTAATTGTCTCCCTCTACCGTATGGACCACCGGACCACGTCGGTCTGCCCGGACTGATCTAGCCTCACCCCCACAGGTCGGTCGAAAAGACGCGTCGCCAAGCCTCACAGCCAGAGCGAAGATAGGGAAGCGCTCGGGTCCAGAGGGGGCTCGCTGTTCCCCGCGCCCTTCCACCGAGGCTCCCCTGGCGTGCCTGGAAGGACGCTCCTCCTCCTCCTGCTCTCCTCCCCTCTCCTCCCC